GACAACTATTCAATCTGATTCTTTAACACGACATTTACTTGGTGATAATACAGATGAATTAGACGATGATGAAGATGATTTTGAATTTGATGCGTAAGTTTCCGCTAGGCAATTTACTGAATTATACTCTATATGTTATAAATATTACAAACATCCTGAGTGTGGGTGGGTATAATTGGAGAAAAGATACGTTTCATCACTTACACCCACCCACATGAGAGTAAGAATAGTACAAAGTGAAATGATAAGAGAGATAGTAGCAAAGGACGAAAAGAGAACAAATATATATATATAGCAGTTCTTATGACCTCTGGCAACGAAACAGAAAGAAAAAAACCTTTCTAGGTGATTTATTTTACCTTTTCCGGATTTCTTGACATATTCTTATATATGATACTCTTCAACTATCATGTATCTATAACTCCTTCGACTAGCTTAAATGTTTTATTGCCAGAATATACATTTGCAAAAGCAAGTCTTTTTATTACATGATATTAGGATGAAAAAAATTTTTATCCGACTCAATTTTTAAACATATTCTCTTATAGATCAGATGAAGAAACAAGTGGTGATGAAGCTGAAGATCATGAAACAGATGAGGAAAATGCAGAAAGTGGAGAAGGAGATGAAGATGAAGATGAAAATAAACCAATGGAACCAAATAAAGCAGCCCAAATTCAAAAGCTGTAAGTAAAATGTCTATCTTTAATAATTAATATATATATTTTCTTAAGTATGAGAAAATCAATAATGGCTATTTTAAATCAACGTACAAAGAAAAAGAAATCTGCTGGAGATGATGTTAAAGAAAATCAAGTGAGTTTTCTTTTCTTAATTTATACAACAACAAAAAAGTATATAATATATTTCACTAGAATGAAGACAACGAAAGTGATGATAATGATGATGAAGAAGAGAATGATGATGACGAAGAAATTGGTAGATGACGTTAGTTCTTTATTTCTCTTAAAGCTATAAATATTCTATTTAGATGATGAAGATGAATCAAATCTTGACATGCTTGAAATGGATAATGATCCAGGTTCATCAAGTGGATGTACTGCTGTATTAACACTTTTACGTGATAAACAATTATTTGTTGCAAATGCCGGTGATTCTCGATGTGTTGTATGTCGTGGTGGTCAAGCTATTGAAATGAGTTTTGGTTAGTATTTATATAACTTTATTCATTAGTATATATTTCTTCTTATTTTAGATCATAAACCAGAAGATCCACCTGAACGTAGTCGAATTGAAAAAGCTGGATATAAAGTAACACTTGATGGACGTGTTTCAGGTATGATCGTAGTGAAAGTTAAATACAGGATCGGGTTATAAGTTTGAAACGTATAAGATTATTTCATGAGACTTGTTCTCAACGAAACATTCTATTTGAAGTGAAAACTGTATATGTTAAACAGTGTTCAATTATACTACCCACAAAGAAAATTTGACCCATAAAAGTGACTATTAAGTACTTTCAATCGTTGGTTTTTGACAGAGAATAGTACTTATAAGTGAACCTTTTCATACTTTTTGGCTAAAAAGTACTATTAAGTACTTTAGGAAGTCCACAAAAGTGATAAACCATACTTTGAAGCTAGCAAAAGTATGAAATAATTAATATGAAAAATTACTTATAAGTGAACTTTGTTCACTTTTTTTTTACATGGGTGATAAGCAAAACTCTGTTTAAATTTTCTATCCATTATAGCAAGCATACAGTGAATAGAGATAAAGCCAATGTAAAGTCTACATTGGTACTGATTCTATTTGTCTGTCAGAGAAATTATTTGATATTGTCATTATCTGAAAATGTTTTACCATATGTTCATTCTTTTCAAGTTAGAATCATTTTGCCATATGAGCAACGTTCTACTTTCTATATTGACTTACTTAGAAAAATATTTATTAAGTTGGAGTGTCATACTTTCATTGAGAATACAAATATTCTTTTACATCATTATTTATTTCATATTTAGGTGGTCTCAATTTATCTCGAGCAATCGGTGATCATGCCTATAAAAAGACAGCGTCATTACCTGCTGAGAAACAAGCAATTACAGCATTACCTGATATTCGTACTTTAACACTTGAAGATCAAGATGACTTTATGATTATTGCATGTGATGGTATTTGGAATTTTATGTCTAGTCAAGATGCTGTTGATTTCGTACGTCTTCGTCTTGAGAAAAAAACTTTAACTCAAATATGTGAAGAAGTAGGTTAAATTTAAATACCTAATAAATCTTCTAATCACTTTTTCTTTCAGTTATTTATGCATTGTCTTGCTCCAAATACATGTGGTGATGGTACTGGTTGTGATAATATGACAGCAATTATAGTTAAATTTAATTTCAATAAACCAACATCAGTATTATCATCTCCAAAATCTATTAATAATAAACGCCCACTATCACCAGATCATACATCAACTACAGACACAATCGATAATTCTAATAATAAAAAAATGAAAATCCTTACGGAGAATGGTACTCATGAAACAAATTCTACTGAACAAACATCTTCATAAACGAAGAGTTTTTCTTTTTTTTATATTGTAAACATATGTGTATTATTAAACAAGAGTCATACAGAGAAAAAGAATTTGTTAGGCAATTTTTTTGTGTATGTAAAAAAAAGTATTATGTTTATTTTTTTTCTACTCTTGCAATAAAAATAAATATTCTATTTTGTATGTTATAAATTAATTTTTTCAATCAAAACGATTGAATCGAATGAGAAGAAAAAAAACAAAGAATGATTAGAGTGCAATTAATAATTCTGCTATTTGACATGGGTAGTTAAGATAAAACGTGCAATGTTCCATCGTAAGAGTAATAATTAACGTCAATGTCAAACAAAAGGAATGTTAAAAGTTCTTTTTTTTTCTGAAATTTATTCTGAGCAAGAAAAAAACAACAACAGGCATATTATTATTACTAATTACAACAATATCAAGCTTAGCTTGATCAAAATTAACTTTTAGTACAAATGAATTAATTGTTGATATCGATTTAATCGATTGACTCTTGAATATTCTATCTTGGTATAAGGTTTTTTCTTGTTTGAAGCAAATATTTTTATTTAAAATTAATATAAAGAAACGATTCTGTTGCATTAATTGAATTCTCTTGTTCAGTATGTTGAAAGAGAAAATGAACACGTCCTTTGTATTTATCGTTTAATTCTTCAACAGCTAAAAGAGCAGTTTGACTTTTGGGTATTTGATTTATGGGAAGAGTAGTTGATGTTCCAAGTACTGCATGAGCTACACGTTGATTAATATGTTCAATAGCTTGATGATATTCACTATTGGTCATTTTATTTTGTAACCATTTGGAATCAAGCAATGTACTTGAGTTAAAAAATCCATCATTAGTTTTTAATTTAATAGTACCACCTTCGACTAACTCAGCTGATGGTAAACGTAGTTGATTTTTATTTAAATATATTTCAATATCTTTTTTTGTATACGGACGACCAGCTCCACATCCCATTTTGAAAGTGCACAGTAAATTTTAAAAAATGTTCTTAAGTATCACGTACTTCCAGTATGACTGCCTGAATAATTTTCATTTTCTTTTTTCTTTTCTTTTTCTACATTTCTCTTATGTCATATGTAAAAAAGAACGTAGACAACTTTTCTTCCTTATGTCGTTTTTATTTTTCTATAAAAAGAAGATTAAAAGAGAATTTTTTTTTATAAGACTTCAACGTCATCGTTCATGATAAAAAAGATATATGATATGAATGTAAAGTCTACTGGAAAAATCCTGCGAAGGATGATGAATCATTACTTTACTTAGTTAGTTTATTAGCTTTGTTCTTCTTGACTTATATGTTGTTTTTGAGATAATCAGTATAATTAAAAAATATTTTCAATGATGAGCAAAGGAAATGAAACCATTGAAATAGTATATATTAAATATAATAAACAAATGATAGAGGATTTAACAATATGAAGATACTTTGAAATCATATTTATCGTTATGAACAACATTACATATTCAACTTGAGTCGTATGTGCCTGAAGCATTTCATCAAAATTGCTCGAAGAAAAATTCTTATTTTAGCTTTACCCTAGATAAATAATAAATAGATCATAGGGTATTTTTTTTCTGTATCAAGAAGGGTTTTTTAACCATTCATTTAAGCTTAGTAGAAGGTGGTATTTTCCAATATGTTTTAAATCTCGAGTCATATCTATTTTTTAAGAAGTCTATAAAACACTATGTAACATCTCGATAAACAATCGATAGAACTATTTATTGTTAATCGTACTATTCTCGATTCAATTAATTGAATCGAAACAAAAGAAAAAAAAAGATTATCAAGCTTACGGGGAATTAACATACAAAGAGCAATGTTCATTTTTTTCTATTTTTATAAAAAAAGACAGTTTAATGATTATGCCATAATTATCTTTTTATGTTTATTTATCATGCATATGCGTCTTTATATTATTAAAATTTCAAGCAAAATAATCTTTTTGATTTTTTATGCATCTTTTGTATTCCAATTAACCAAAGGACAACAAAAAAATATTCATTTTTTATTACCAAATGTGTCATCATCTATTCATTCTTTATTAAATCCAACTATCCATAAAGTTTACTCATTTACATTAAATTCTTTTACAAAAATAAATTTAGTTGGAGGTCCATTTAATATTAAACTTAATCAAATTTCGTATTTAAATAACAATCATACATCCGTTGATATTAATGCAGAAGAATCAATACATAATTCAATTTTAATTGATATTGTACAAAATGATATTCTTTTTATTCGTATGATAGAAAATATTAATTTAATCAATAAAACAAAAATAGTTATAACAATCAATTATTTTAATTTAACTGAACTTCATGTCAATGGTATAATTAACATTCAATGTTTAAATCAAATTCAAACAGATAAATTTTATTTATATAATCGTGCAACTGGATGTCTTAAATTAAAATTAAATGTTAATACACTTGATGCATATTTTCATTCAAATGGTCGTGTGAAATTATGTGGGCAAGTTAATGAAGAAGCAACATTACAATCGTTAGGTGTTGGGGATATACAATGTCGAAATTTATTTACAAAAAAAATCAATGTTATATCAAGTGGAATCGGAAATATATATGTAACAGCTACAGATGAAATTAATATAATATTAAGTGGAATTGGTACGATTTATTATACAGGTCCATTAAAACAACAAATTAAAACGGGTTTAGGAAATATTATTGAAGCAGTTGATTAGATAAACGATTTGAACACTTTTTTTTTCTATTAATAAAAGAAGAAATTGTGTTTTTTTTTAATTAAATATTATTTTTGTCTTCATAGACAGTCTAGTTTATAGAAAATAAGTGATATACCTTGCCAGAATGAAGAAAAAGAAAAAGGAAAAGGAAGAAGAATCGAATCTACTCGGATGAATAATGTCGTGCTAACACATACAAGATGAGACCAACATCTGGCTGCCAATCTTCCAACAACGACGCTGATAAATGTGATCATAATGACGAGTGAGAGAAAAAAAAAGAAACGAGAAACACAACATTCTCATCTTCTCTCGTTGTCAGTTTGCTAGAACCACGCATCTTATGTGTTCCTCTTTAACACAAACACACGCACATAGATATAATATATACATACTACTCAACTATCTTACTAAAAAAGTCCCACTGGTAAATGTGCATTCGAACTTTTTATTATCTATTCAGTTAGTTCTAAATGTCAATCGATAATCGTAAGAAACATTTTATATTATGATAATATTATTATTTAATTTGATAAATGATTATTATGAAAATAAATATATTATATCAATAAAACCTATTTTTATTTAGAATAAATAAAAAATACAATTAAGATTGATTTTCTATATGTATCGACCACGTTCTTCAATACCATATGATATTTTACATAGACTTCGATTTCCAGCTAATTTCTCAGCAATCTTAGCGTATATGAGTTATTTTCCACCACCGCCACCTATTTTTCCTGGGCCACCACCTCGTCGTTCTCTGGCATGTTCATCTAATTCTTTTTCTTCCTTACCGTGTATTATATCTAATGATCATAATCTTTTATACTTACATAAATATAGTCCATTGATTAATATTAATCAATCAACATCAACAACAAATACATCACATAAATCAATAATAAATTCTTCTCATTCTACACAAACATTATCATCATTTGATTATATTCTAATTTTAATACAAAATCATTTTTCATTAATTCTTATATTAAGTATTTTTCTATTTTTAATATGTCTGTCAATATTATTTCTTTTTTTTCAATGTTTACGACAAAGACAAAATACATCAAATAATAAAAATTATGCATTTTATTATCATTTAATACCACATCGTCGTCGCAAACATCAAACAAAAACACAAGATAATGAACATAATTTAACACGCCTAAGAAAAGATTCTCCAACGTTGCGTGTTATACGATTATCAAGAACAAGTGGAAAACATAAAAATGATAATAATGAAACTGAAGACACTCTTTAATTACTTGTTGTTCTTTTTGATGTTAGAATTGAAATAAATGTTGAAAAAAAAAAGAATTATTTTCGAAGACATACCATAAGAATACTTGTTGAATTAAATTCATAAGATTTTAAAGTTCGATTATCTTCAAGTTCATCAATATAATTATCAAATTTAGTTAGTAGAATTTTTTTTGGATCAAGATTTTCTTGTTTACTAAATATTTCTTTCAGTTCATAAATAGTTTTATCTAATGATATTCGATATTGATATTCTTGATTTAAAAATGTTCGTAAAGTTATATTAATAAATCTTTAAATGATAATAAAAAAATTTAGAATTCAATTTTAATAGAATAAAATACAAACTCAGATGAAACACAATTTCCATCAGAAATATTTAATTGTAGACTATCACATAAATGATTAATTGCATTTGTTTGATCTTCATCGTATTGTAAAATAATTTCACACGACTGAAATCAGAAGAAATTATATTAAATTAACTTTTGGAAATTCCGAATCTTCTTCAAATAGCACTTCCGCCAACGGTGAAATTGCACTGTACTTCCGCTCATTGGCGAAAGTACGGTATACTTTCGTCAATGCATCTCCTTCAATTCTGACAATTGGTGAAAGTACAGTAAAATTTCGCCAAGACACTCCGAAACGTTCGTCATTAGTGCAGTTTCGATAATACAATTTTCTTTTGTAAAACATACATTTACATATAGATAATATTGAGTAAGTTTTTCAGTTAAACATTTTTGAATATCAGATGCTTTTCTTAAGACATTGAGTAATTCCGATTCAGTTTTACTTAAAGAGAAAAATAATTTTTAAAATTAATTCATATATATATATATATCGAACCTATTTATATCAATGTTTCGATTTATTGTATCACATTTCATTTGTTCGAGTAATTGAAAATCATTTTCTATTTGTCTAATATATATTTGAAGTATATCTTAATATTTTATTAATTAAAAATCTTCTTACTTTATAAAACTTTGTTCTTGTAATTCAAGTTGTTCAAGTATATGCATCTGTTTTTGATATAAATTCGAATGATGTTCTTGACGAATAAGTTGAAATTGATTATTTATTTCATTTCGTTTTATTTTAAAATAATTATGAACTGGAACTAAAATAAAACGACAATTGAAAAATATTTTTATTTAAATAAATTCTCACCTTTGAATTCATTTTGATTGGTTTTCTCTAATTCATTTAATTTTATTTCTAATAATTTTTTCATATCATTCACATGTTTTTCATTGCAATCTATACATTTTGTACACTGACAATATTCACATATAGTTAATGTATCAATTTTTTGACACGATGAACATTTTCCTTTAATTGGTTGAATTTTCATTAAACTAATTAATAAAATATTATCAGGTAATTCATCAGTTCCTTCCGTTAATTTAATTGTTCGTTGACATATTGGACAAATTAGTATTTGATTTTCAGAATCATAAATATCTAATAAATAAAAACAAATATAAATTTTATATTAAATAATATTCTAAAATTACTCTGTAAGCATGTAAAACAAAATGTATGTTGACATTCAAGAACTTTTGGTATTTGAAAACGATTAAGACATATGGAACATTGTAAAAGATTTTCAATTTGATATAGATTTGCCATTGTAAACCTTTTTCAAAAAAAAATGACATTTATTTATATATCTTTGTTTGATATACATGATTCATCGATTCTTTTCATTGGAGAAAGAAAGGTAATACACATCAGGTACACACGAATTGTAAAACATTTCTTTTTTAAAATTTCGTATAAAATTATTATTCAATAAGTATATATAATAGTATAAAAATAACATTCGTAATTTGATCAAGGTATTATCAAAGAATCGATGTATGCTATTTGAAACTACTGTTTTTTTGTTCTCACCAACGGAAGATGATGCCTGTGACATTTTTATGAATATATATTAGGACGAGTAATAACAATCAAATAGGAATTCGTTTATCTATTATAAAAAAACGAACTTTCATTCGACGATAATTTTGTACAAAAAAAATTCTTATCAAACAATCGGCCTTTAAGAACAAAACGCTTATAAATGTACGTCAGCGTAAATACTGTCTGCATCGAAATTGCTTATTTATTGGTTTTTTCTCTTAGTCACAAGGTTTTTATTTCAAATTATGTGCTACACACAGACACACACATGCATATGTAATACGAATACATTATCTATTCATGTTAGATATTTGTTTGGATTTTATCGAAAACATCATACGAAAGAGAAAAAAAAAGAAACATAGATAATATGATATGCATTCAATATGTATTGCTGACTGATAAGAAAAAAAAGAAGGAGAAGTCGGTATACTTGTACTTTTGACAATTGATAAGAACAGAAGAAGAAAAAGAAACGGAATGTAATAAACAGGTGCACAATCAAAACTAAGCTGTATTTTGTTTTATTTCTTTCAGCTATCTTCTCAAAGTAATACAATAAAAAAAAAATGCTAGGCAATTTTCGACAGGTAAAAATAGATAGACACTTATTTTAAATAAATTTTTTTTGCTATAGATCATTACTCGAGCAATTCAACCAAGAATATTATTAACAACAAATCGTTTGAATCAGACAGATGCTGATAAATCACCTGTAATATATAAATACTTATCATAAGAGTCATATTAACACATCAATTTATGGTAGGTCACAGCAAACGTACCCAGTGGAATATGGAAACTTGGTAAACTCAATCATATTGCTGTTGCTGTTCCTAGTCTAGGTTATATACAAAATCTATTGATTTAATTGACATTTACTTATCAAAAAATATTTTAGATGAAGCAAGTAGTTTTTTCAAAAATGTTCTTCATGCTAAATCTGTTAGTGGTGCTGTCGCATTGAAAGAACATGGTGTTCATACAGTTTTTGTTGATTTTGGTAATACAAAAATTGAAGTAAATAAAATTTTATTATTAAATAAAAATTCATATTAAAAAATTTTTTTAAGCTTTTATTTCCACTTGGTGATAAAAGTCCGATATCAAGATTTTTAGAAAAACATAAATCAGGTGGCATTCATCATATTTGTATTGAAGTATATATTTTATTCGATTGATTTTGTTAGTTTCTATTCATTCTATCTTAGGTTGATAATATTGAAGAAGCGATTAAAGATATTCAACAACAAAATATTCGTACACTTAGTGAAACAACTCAAATTGGTGCACATGGTAAACCAGTTATGTTTCTTCATCCAAAAGATTGTGGTGGAATTTTAATTGAACTTGAACAAGCTAAATAAATAATGTTTTGTTTTTGTCGTAATTGTTAAAAATTTAGTTTATCGATGTATATCTATCGATTTTAATTAATGATTTGTTTTTGCATTATAATTTCGATGATTTAATATATTCGAAATCATAATAAACGATTAGAATTGATAAACATCCTTTTGATTAAGGTAATTTATCTCAAAAAAAATATATGGTATTATATAATTCACGCATAGCTCTGTATAGAAATGAGACGATAAAAACGTATCTAATCATGTATTATAGAGTTATTCAATTTGGTTTTAGCAATCTTTTGAGTTTAGACTTTTGTCATGTAGAATAATAAATACGAAACTTTTAGATTCAGAATCAAGCTTTTGTTAATAATATAGACTGAATTATGAGAATGGATGAGTTGAAAACAGAAAACGTTAGGTTCACACTAAGAATTACAAATTTGTCAGGTTTATCTAAATGACATTCTTTGAAATAGTTGAGGTTACACAGTGTAAGAACACAATTTGAATAATAAAGCTTTTTTATTATCGCTTCGTTCTTTTCTCCCTGGATTGTATGACTGCAAACGAAACACGCTTTTTTTGATATTATTTGCAAGAATTAAAGCGATAAAATGACGAATAGTGAGGCTCAGTAGACAATCGGTAGATGGTGTACCTTTTATAAATGGCCGGTTTTTATCTACATTCATTAGTGAGTTCTCGAGCAAGTTACAGACACAATTCTGATAGTTCGGGATTTTTCCTCATTTTTTATCTTATACATGTCATAATACGAACGCGTTGTAAAGTGTAGACGTAATGTGAACTTCGAACAGATGCAAAAACAATTCGAACTCTCACGTGTTTTATCACGTTAGATGTCAACGATGCTTTAAAGCGCAGCAGTCTCAAAAAGGTTAAATACTTTTTTTTCGTTGTCTTTCCCATGAATAACTAGCCTATGTTTTAAAATCAACGTTTATCATTGACAGATTTTAATAATTGCAACAAACGAATATATCTGTTAAATCTTGATGACTGAACTTTTTTTTTTATTATTTATTCATTTTTCTTCTTGGTTTTATTTGAACAGTAATTATATATTATTCCTTATGAATTATTCTGATAAAATCAGCTAATCTGTACCAATGAAATAAACTGATCGAGCATTAATTAATACGACTTTAAATGAAAGAAGAAATTCTTTTAGTATTTTAATCTAACAATGATTTAATTAATGGATAAGAGAGAACAAAAGAATATTTTATTTATATATCTATTGTTTTTCTTAACTATAATTATATACATTTAAACAGGAGTAGTACTATGACCGGTTTTAGGTGCTGGTGAATCATCATTTGAACTCGAGCCACATAAATCACGTGCTTCACAATGTTTAGGAGTTAGAAAATGTGGTGCACCGGATGCCGATGAAAGTGGAGCTGTTTTGGAACGTGAATAAGATTTGATTTCACGTAATAATGGAGAACTTGAAGGTGTTGTTGTCGTTGTTGTTGGTGGTGGTGGGGTTATTGATGGTGACAGAGATTCTTTGACATCAGGTAAATTTGGATGAGTAGTAGATGATGTTGTTGAAACATCATCGGCTAAACTTATATTGATAACAGGTTCACTTGGACGTGATGATAATGATTGTGGATCAACAACACGAAATATAATTTGATCTATTGTTGCTTCACGTATATCACGTATACGAGGTAATTTTGATAATGATTGATGTTTAGGATTTGTAAGACGTTGTTGAGATGATGACATAGGTACTTGAAGAAATTCCGATGAACGTGATGTATGTGCTGATGAACATGGAAAATCTGAATTACGTCGAAGATTATATCGACGAGGAGTTGATTCAATTAATTGTTGTTGATTCATTCGAGGATTGAGTGCAGCAAAAATACTATGTGCTGAATTAGGCATTTCACATGTAATTGGTGTTACATCAAGCGACATAAATAATTGTTCGTTTGCATCATCCAATTCCATTGAAGTTATTCTAAAAAATTTCATTATTTAATAAAATTATTAGACAAATTTTGGAGGAACTATCCTACTTTTCTAGAGACTATAGATGTGTAGTTCTTTTTAATTTCTATATTATCGAATTTCAGTGATATTTGTTTTTGTGTCTAATAAACTCTCGTAAAACTATCATTGATCTTATTTTAAATTTCCATCCTTTGATTTTAACTGCAAGTCTCTGAGGGATAGAAGTTTACAACAAATCATTAGTTTCTATTTTACGTACCCACAACCTTTTTGTACTTTAAATGCTAATGCTCTCAATAATTGAGCACTATCTTCTTCGTATAATGCAACACAAACTTCATCATGTAAATCTTTTGGTACCTAAAAAAAATAAATAATCTTATCTATAGAAATAAAATATTTATAGTTACCATAAATAATTCTTTATATTGTTCAATCATCATTTTTAAAATACTTTTTCCTTGTTCCATTTGATCAGTAGTCATAGCTACACTCGTATCTTTATTTGATAGAATCGGTGCTTTTCCATCCATAAGTATAGTTGGAGCAAAAACAATAGCTAAATTAGCTGAATCCATTTTATTTCCAGCTACAAGTAATTTTCCATCGGTTGAATAACGATCTTGTGAATTCATTGAAATATGATAAAGAAATTTTAACAGTGTATATAATGTATCACGATTCGATGATGGTAATAAACTGATTAGATAGGAAAGTGCACGTGATTGATCTTTTGGATGAAGTTCTAGATAATAAAATTCTAAGAATATATATATTTATTTTGAATTCAACAAACTTGTTCGAATATTTAATAAAGCTCCACATAAATCCCGTGTTAATAATGGTTCAGGTAATTCACGTAAGAATTCCTTCATTAAACCAGCTATATCATGTACATTTGTTGTTGAATCAAAGGTTAAACTTCGATTAGAATTAACTTGATCTTTAAGCTAAAACAGAAAAGACATAATGATTATCTTTTTTCTTAGAAATAAAAATTTCCTTTACTTCTTTTAAACGTTTTTTTGATACACCAACTCGAAATAAACCAACAGTTTGTAAAGCTAAAGATTAAATTTAGTTTAAAAAGAAAAACAATAAAAAATTTTATTCTACCATTTTTTTCTAAATAATCACAACAATTTCGTATTAATTCCGGCACTTTAGCTGGATAACATCGTAATGTTTTCATTCGATTCATTCCACTTGTTGTTGCTGCTGCTTCATGTGGTCCTAATGCTTCAAGTGATACAGAACGAAATTTTGATTGTTCATAATCAGAATCTGATATCTAATATTATTTATACATATATTTAATAAAGAAAAAAAGAAGAAAAGTGTATATTTTACATGTAAACTACTTGGACTTGCTGGTGAAATCGAACATCCACTATCATATGTTGATGATATACTACCTGATGGACTTATTTTTTCATCATTTATAGATATATCTATTATATCAGTACTATCTTTTCGATTAATTCCACTTGCATTATTAACTGATGTCGATGTGAGTTCATCTTGAAGACGAGAATCATCATCATTAACACATTGTGATAGCGCAACACCAAATACATTTCCATTAGATTTCGCATCTGTGATAAATGTCAAATATTAGTATAATCAATTACTTTACATTAAAATTAATATATAATACGAAAATGATCTTTAGTTTAATAGAGGAAAAACACATTTCTTCAGCATCTATATATATGTCAAATAAATGGCATTCGAAACTTTAGTGACATATATTATAATATCTCTATGTGAAGTAAATTACGAATTGTTTTATTCGATTTATAAAAGATATATTTTGTTTCGAACGATATAAAATTCTATTTATAATTAAGGTTTGTCAGATTTTTGTTTTTTTTCATACCATAGAATTAATTTTGTTTTTCTCTATTTGTAATAATACATCAACATTAAGCATAAGAGGACGAGTTGTTTTTGTCTCAACCCCATATCCTTTTCCTGTCGGAACAATCCCACCCATTCCTGTTTGATATATCATAAAAACAGGGGAAAATAGAGAGGCGTTCGTGTCAACAAAACCAGACTTTTGTAATACAATACTCGTTTTTCTTCTCTCTCTCTATAGAATCTATATATACGTGTAGTAAAGGGAGCAAGATCAATTTCTATCATATATTAATTTATAATAAAGAAAACAAACCTTTTGCTTCTTTTGATTTGTCACTTGATTTACTGCGAAATAAAAAATGATGTTTGCGTTTTCTTGCTGTTTCTTCTAAGATGAAGACAAGAAGAAAAAAAAAATTATTATTAATTGATTCTTTTTATTACAAGAAAAATTTATATTACATATCAAATTCTATTTATATTACTGTTTAATTTATCTCTAAAACATAAACTATTCATCAACTATAAAAGCATATCTAATCTCTTCTCAATTGATCTGTGTTTTATTTTCTCGTAGATTATTAATAGATAAATTGATAGAGTACAAGAGGTTTCCGATAAGATACTTATTTTTCCCATAGGGTTATACGATCATAAATCAAGGCTATGCACGTACACTGAATTTTCATTAATAATAACATAATTCGATTATAAATGACACTCTTTCTTTTCCTAATCCAATTTTTCTTTCTTTCTATTCATATATATATATATATTATGGAATACAACTAAATATATTTAGCTTTTAAATGTCACAAACTATCATATTCATACCTTTAGGCTCATGTATTGACACGCCAAGATCATATTGTGATGATTGTAAACGTTGTAAAACAATATGTTTTAGTTGTTTATGTTCAACATATGTTAAATTATGTAATTCAATTGATCCAAGAATTATCTTACTTATACCATCAGATGAACACCATTGTGATTTATCTGTCTAATAAAAGAAAATAGAAGAAATTAATGTAACAATATATCGATGATTAACAGATGTTCTTTTAGTATATAGATGATATCTTCTAGGATAATAGAAAATCAAGCATATGTGAAACATCATCAACTGAACATAATACAATATAAATAAAAACAGATTTTTTTAATTGATTCTTCTCCTTCTTTTTTTTTAGATAAATATCGAACTGAATTCTTAGACTAATAAACTGACCTACTAGGGAGACAATATGCCTAGAATTATCAATGACATTATTATCATTTTTTTATCTCTTATTCTTGCAACATTTCATCTTTAATATCTCTTGTTATCTTATTTTGATGCATGTCGTATAAACAGAATATTGGACTAGTGACAGTTGTTTCGGTAATTAGCAATCTAGTGTTGTTTTTTTTTGGTAAAATATATATATACTTACTTCAAAATACCATTGTACAGTTGGTGAATTAAATGATGTTATTTGATCTAATGTTGTCGATGAATTACCAGTAGTATTTGTTAAAGTTGTTAGACTTGAATGACGAGATGTTGCTGAATGAGTTGATTTTGTTGAAGGTAATTTAACTAGAGAAAAAAAATTACGGAATGTTGATAATGGTGAAGAAAAATTTGTAGATGCAAATGTAGACAAGGAATGTGATGAATCTGAAGGTAAACCAATTCCAAAACGATTAGATTTATTGGTTTTATTACGTTTAAGAATATTTCTTAAAGCTAATGCAGCTGGAGATGCATCAGGTAATGAATATCTATAATTAGGTCTTCGCGGTGGTTGATAATTAATTCCATATTCATCATCTTCCTCATCATCCTCCTCTTCTTCCTCCTCCACATCGTCATTCTTTTTATTATGATTATGATTATCACTTAATTTAAGTGACGTTGTTGACGATGATGATGATGATGATGTCTTTTTTTTATCTAATGATCCATGAAGTGACAGCCAACTCTGTCGACGTAATTTGATATTGTCACCTTTAGATGTTTTATGATTATCTACAGATATTTTCGAAACATCTTTCGTTGACTGTGAAGATGGATTTATTGATAAACTTGCTCGATGATGATTTCCATTATATACATATTCTTCAGGTATAGTGGTACTTTGTAAATCTGAACATGGTGATTGACGTGTACGAATTTGTGATCGTTGAGGTTGATATGTTGATATTAAACTGGATGGTGCTGAAGTTGTACGTGTATTGATATGATTTTGTTCAGTAATAGACTCAATATCAAGACGAAAACGAGGTAAAGGTAGATTACGATTCATAATTAATCTATTTATATTTGTTGTTTGAATCAATTAAGATTGATGTCGTTGATAAGGATAATCATTTGTCAATATTCGTTTCTTTTTGGTAAACCAATATTTGTATATAAAGTTGAAAAATTTATTTATTTTTCTCTTTATTTTTCTTGATTTCAAACGTAGATATAAATGCGCATGTGCATAGAAAGTTCTCTAATTACCAAAAGCTGTAATGTCAGTAATGATGATACTTTTTTTCTTTCTTCTTTTCTTCCTTTTTTCTTTCTTCTTTTCTTCCTTTTTTCTTTCTTCTTCAATAATGGTCCATCCGATCATTTGTCATTAAATGGACTTAATATAGGCAATGATAAAAAGACGATAAAATAGATCTTGACGTTTAAATTCCAAATATAGTGATCTTTGAGTTAAGAGATATTTTATCTGCGCATGTGTCGATTTTTAAGAAACGTCGCTTCTAATTATATGTGCAAAATAGACTGAGAACTACAACGACATGAAGAGAATGACAACAGGGATAGTAGTAGTAGTGTCGTTTTCTTTCTCTTCATGTTGTCTGTCTTTTTCGCCGTTACTATTCTCTATAATCAACGATTGGATCAACAGACCGATAGACAGAAGAGAAAAGAAGAACTTACTTAGTTATCTGTTCGTCTCAAAACATACATCATACACTTATTCATATACGAACGATTAAATTTCCGTTATTTTTTGTTTCTATAATTTCAATTTTTCATATGTTTAACTGAATTATATTAATGTAAAATACGATAAAAAAATGTACGCTGAAATAGATGTTCTTTTTTTGTTTTTTGAATTTATTCATTAAGTTGTTGTTCTCTTTTTTCCGATCAAAACGTTATTGAGTGTAATAATAGAATTGATGATAAAAAACATGATTGCAAAAACAAATGAATCTGAAGATGCATTCTGTTCGTGATAATATATTAGTAGGTAGTTGTTGTTAAATGAACTTAATCGACGATATATATCAAGGAATGACAAAAATTTAGCATAAAATGAATGAGCACGTTTCTAAAAAATATCCTTCCGGTTTTTCGAGATTGATCTTGTTTAATTGACTTGTTATCGTATATTTGCATATTAGAAAATACGGTATTAGTGACATTATAGACTTATTTTTTTTTTTTATTTCTGGAAACAATACACACTAGATTCTATTGGGAATAATACCCATATTAATGACAAAAAATCGTTTCATTCTTGACGTCATTTCCAGTAAGTCATTTGTGAAATGAGGTGTCAATAGAAGAAAAGTTAATTTAGAAATTTTTACGAAAAAATTCTATAAAAAGAAATATTGAATGACGTGCGACATCTTATGAATGCTCTTTTACAATGTTATTGATGAAAACTTAGAAATAAATATATCTATCTAAATCCTTTGAAATATTTTTATATTGAAATATGAATGACTATTACCTGTATGTTCAACTGTTGTAACTATTGGATCGAGTGAAGTCATTGAATTGAAGATAAAAAAAAGAAATATTTTTCTAGAATAATAACAAATTACTATATCTCTTGTTTTTCTATGTCAAGAGAGAACAATTAACAATTCAAGGATGAGAATTTGACTCGATAAGCCAAGAGCTGATATATATATAATACAATAGAAATAGACAAACAATAAAGTTAATAAGAAAAGAAAACGATTGTATTTGTATATCACTGAACTCATATAATCTAACTAGAATAACTCGTTTTTCTTACAATGAATTCTTTTTCCGTCGTCTTCTTCTTTTTGTGTCTCCCTTATGTTGTGCTTACAAATCTTCCTATGGTCGCCTAACGTGTCAATTTTGTTTTTTTCATCAGTATTGGCATCTGTGCAGAAGTAGAAAAAGAGAATATATTTATATATGTCCTTGTAAAAAGGCAAAAAAACATATGAAGAGAAAAGACAGTTACTGTTCTTATTATATTTATTGATGTCATTCGCTAGATACAATGCAAGATGTAACACACACACACACACACA